GTATTTAACAACTTCATTTGAGTTACCTGTGTGACCTACCAAGTCCCAAGCTTGTTCACTTTCACCTAGCATGTTGTTTACATGTTGTTCGGGTCTAGGTGGCGCCATTCAGGTTGTCTGGGTAGTGCCAGAGACAGCTGACTTTGGAATTTAGAAACTATCATAAATTTTGTGTGTGCCCTGCATCCCATACTCTTGACTCACCACAGATTTAGACACGATGATTGTGACTGGGCATGCTGCCAGTAGTCACCCGACATGCCTACAGTATTCTTTCCTTTTCTGCCTCCGGGCATTCTGTGAAGCCAGCTAAGCTTGCTCGGCCTTTGTCCAGTGATTCCCAAAAGTAAGAATGAAGAATGAAGTGGAGTGAAGAAAGGTACAGGGAATAGAAGGCAATAAAAAGTGCATTATTGACTTGGATTATCACTGTGAGTCCTGTGGGCTCGGTTCTCCTGGGAGCTCTCTAAAACTGGACATCATGCCCCTCAGATTTTTTCTGCAAAGGACGGGAGGCTGGAGTATTTATGTAGCAACTCCCTTACCTCCCTCAAATCTTTTGATCAGATACCACCTTTACGATGAGATGTACCCTAACCTTTTTATTTAAAATTGCAGCCCCCACCGTAGCATGTCTGATGCCCCTGACCTTGTGCTACTTCTCAGTTTTACATACAATATTATTTGCCTATTATGTTGGTTGGTTGTGTCTGTTTACCTCACTGGAACGTAAATTAAACAGGCACAGAGATCTTTGCTTTTTGTTCACTGATTTATTCCACTAAAAGAAGGCCTGACACATGATCTGACAGTCAGAAAATAGTTGTTGAATAATAATTTGTTTCTGTTAAATGCTGTACAACTTGAGGTACAGTTCTCCCAGTTTTTCCTTTCTCATTCTAAAAATGATTTTGTGTACCTTACAGAAATATATAATATGCAACAGAATAACAAAGTTGAAGAAACTGGGCAAAAGTAAAATAAGGATCATGAAAAGTTAGGGATAAGGTTAGGTTTTCTAGAAGTGGACCATAGATTTGGTTCTAAACAAAGGGGAACTCTCAAATCTTGATCGGTTAAAAATGATCGAAAATTTTGCAAAGCTGCTGTACTTATAGCTAAAATGTGGCTATGACTGCTTGCTGTAGCCATGTTACAAAAACCAACAAGCTCAAATGGACAAAGCTGTTAACATACTGCAGTATTTTTCAGATTCAAGTCATTCAAGATGCAAAATAGTCTCGGCTCCTATCATCTGTGAGAATTTTATTTTTGCAGATATGGGTGAAGTTTCAAGTTTAATTTGTATTGAAAGTAAATAGTATGTACTACTTAGCTTATATGCAGCCAGGAGCTTCTTAAACTAATGAGAGAATACCCACCTATTGAACTGACACAAGAAAGCAAAGATTGGGTTAAGAAGGGCTGTTCAACAAACAAAGATTTTTCCATAGATACTTTTTCTTTACTAATTTAACTTTCGTTGTTCTGTTTATAGTAGTTGGGTTTGTTCAAGGAGTGTTTGCACTTATTAGGAATCACTGTCCTTTCTTGCCAAGTATCCAGTGTCTGTAAAACCATTACTTTTCTATATTTTGTCCATTTCTTTCATTGTTTCTAATGGGAAGATAAGTTCAACCCCTGTTCTTCCATTTTGGCCAGAGAGGAAATAGTGACCTCTATCTCCCAAATCTTACCTTAGAGATCTTGACATTTTTGTCAGCCTCATCCGACCATCTACATCCTTCATGACTATCTTAATCATTGTACTACAGTGATCCTTTCTGGTTTCACTTGCATGACTATCCCATTTATACTCAAGTTAGTTAATGCATTGTTCTCTTAATATCTGAGGCTTTCACACTTCATAGCTTTGACTTGTGTGCCTCATCATTCCTCAAGTTTGTGCCTGTATTACATACCTGTTGTTCACCCCTTCAAATGCTATTTTTGGCCCTGCCTCTTACTCGAGCCATTGCTATACCAATTTCTTGACAGCTTTGAATGATTTTTCCTAAGTACACTTTGTATTATGCTTTGCCCCAGACAGGAATTCCATGCCATACTTCTACTTTTCTGTTCCACTATGGGGCCCCACTGGTGTCATGGCACAGGATGCAGGGACCTGCCCAGACACGTGAGTGCACAATCCAGACGTGCACAGGAGTTTATGACAAGCCCACCTTTGATCAAGGAGTAAGGTTGACGTGGAGAACTGTTTCCCTCTTCATTCCCTTAGACTAACCCAGAATCAGGAGGTCTCTGAACTTGGGCACCAGCTCCTGGAGGGAGCGGAGGCTGTAGCTTATTGCAGAGCCTTGAATGAACTTTTCCTCATTCCCTGAAATGCCTCTTTATTCTCTCTCAGCTGCTCCCCTCTGCCATTTGTTTCTATGCTACTGATAATTGTAGAAAATTGAAAAAATATGTTGACTAGATCTCTTTCTAAATCATACCATCTTACCCTACCTGGATTCTTTTTCTGTCAAGTATTTCAACTAGTTATCTTGTATTATGTTGCTGCCTTAACTCTCCATGTTTTCACCCTCAGAACTGGCCTCCTTCATTCTCAGCATATACTCTTAGTTGAATTGCTGAAAAGCGTAGACTTTGCAAGACTGGCCTCCACATTTTCTTACCCCTCTACTTCAAAATGGTGTTCAACTGATTCCTCTTCTCTTTTAAAGAAAATCTTTTAAAAAATCTTTAATCCATCTCTACTTCTTGCCACTGTTGGAAGAGACATCAGTTATTCAAAGAACTGATTTCCCCAATTACACTTTTTTTTCTCATTGAAGCATAGTTGATATACAATCTTATATTGGTTTCAAGTGTACACACTAGTTCAGCAGTTATCTGTATTATTAAATCCTCACCCCCGTTAGTGCAGTTACTATCTATCAACCTAGGAAGATGTTGCAGAATCACTTATTATATTCTCCATGCTGTGCTAACATCCCCATGACCAATTTAGATTATGATCAAGAATTTTTGTGAGGAAAACCAAAATCCTTTTTTGACCCCATCATTACTCCTACTAACCATGCAATTTTCCTGCTTTTTTTTGTTCAGTGAAACATTTGTTGAAATATTCTAGTTTATCACATATTTATTCCTTAAGCCCTGATGATCTAATTGCAATCTCTACCACTCTCTGGAAACTACTGTGTTAAAGGTCAGTGAAGAAAAAAATAATCATTAAAATTCATAGCCTTTCCTCAGCCATTGCCTTTGATCACATTCCAGCATATTCCAATAAACCCATTTTCTTTTATGACGTTGTAAAAACTTCTGTACCTTTTTTGGTCCTTCCTCTGCATTCCCAGGTCTTTCCCTTATCTACCCAGGACTCTCTAGACTTATTTCTTTGACTTTGATCCTTCTACCACACTCCAGTTTTGTATTATTATCACTTCTTATTGTGACAGTCAACACAGTCTTTCAATTTTCTACAATTATCAGTAGCATAGAAACAAATGGTGGAGAGGAGCAGCTGAGAGAGAATAAAGAAAGAGGCATTTCAGAGAACAAGGAAAAGCCCATTCAAGGCTCTGGACAATGAGCTGAACCTTAAATTTAACTTCTCCAAAATAGAACTTGCCATTCCCACTCACTTCCTTATTACCTCAGCTCTTTCTCCTAACTTCCTTTTTTGAACAGTAGTACCATTCTTTAGGGCACCAATGGATCCCTGCTTCCTCTAAGCATCTCCCATATTTGGAGAAGAAGAATATAAGCACTGTGATTTATACATTATCTTGTTTAATTCTCCTAGCAATCACATTTCATGCATAGGTAAAATAAGATCCAACGTGGTCAGTTGCCCAAAGTCTCAGAGCTATCTAGGGATAGGAACCATATCTTCCGGACACTAAAATTCATACATTTTTCGCTGTGTAAATAGAATGATGACGCTTAAGCAGCGATATATCCTGAATTATCAAAGAAATTTTCAGTTACCTTCTTGCCATTGTATTTATTAAAGAAAAAAAGCAGATAAATACACTTTACAAAAAGTAGAAAGTAATAAAGACTTCCAGTTAAATTGTGTGTTATTAAAATGCTATTTACCAGAACAGCCTCTTCCCTAATTGCTCAGTCAGTCAAGGTTGTATTACATACTGAACTGTATGGTTGTGTTGTATACTATACTGGACATAGATTTATTAATGTCTTTCATGTTGAGTTCAGAGTTGGAAATGGTGTTTTTCGTATATGTGGTTAATTGGATATTTGTTAATGTTAACGCAATGATTAAAGAGAATCTTTACCTATCGGGCTTCAGTGCTAAGTTTGATAACTGAGACAGAAAAATTGAAATTGAAGGGAGGATCAATAGCAGCAGTTAGTTAATAGTGTGGAAATGTTTTTTGGGTCTGCAACGTGGGGAAATTACATCGTAGCCTATAAATATAGATGATATTCTGGGCAAAGGATACACCATCATTAGGCAATTGTGCCGTGAACAACTGTCAATTAAGTACCATTTTGTCCAATTTAGACCTAATGAACTTGGTAGATGAGATCCCTGCTGACTTAAAGAGTAGTCAAAGCCTCATTTTGGATTCGGTGCCTTCTAGGTCAGTAAGTTCCAAAAATATTGTATGTATTTACTTGGCACAGGAAATACATGATATCCTTCCTTCTGGTTAATTCTTTAACAGATATTTATGGGATATGATTTGTGCCATAGGGAGTATCAGTTGCTGAGTGGTAGATAATGGTATAAAAGACTTGGAAAATTTTTCCTTGCCTTTGGGGAGTTTTATTTCCATTTTTGCTAACTTCCCTCAGTTACTATTAAATGACTTTTTTTTGAATCAATGGGATAAAAAGGATTTTGTGTTAGCCCAAGAGCAAAGCAACTGCCTACCCTCACAAGAAGGCTGACAAAAGATCTTTAATAAAAGAGAAATGGTGAGGATAGTGTTTTGACTCTGTACTCAGTCTCACCTACCTCAGAGGTCCAATGACACTGTGGTTTTATTTGGAACTTTCAGGAAGGGGTCCGGATCACCATTTTGCAGGAAGTGCAAAAGATGTGTCAGAAGAAGCCTATGTCTGCCTACCCTGCAGGGAAGGCTGCCCCTACTGTGCTGATGACAGCCCCTGCTTTGTCCAGGAGGATAAGTATTTGCGACTTGCTATCATCTCCTTCCAAGTACTGTGTATGCTGCTCGACTTCGTTAGCATGCTGGTGGTCTACCACTTTCGCAAAGCAAAGGTAAACCCAGGAACCCTGTATGATCTTCCTTTTTATTAAGTGACCTCTTCTTCTTTTAAGTCAACAGTTTTTCCAAATCCTAGTTGCTTCTCTATTAAGTAAAAGTTTTTCTTTAGTATGACTGGACTTGAGTGTGATATTCTTCAGAATATGAAAATTGTGAAATTCCACTTTAGAAAGTGATATTCTTTAACTTCCCAGGGGAAATGGGGATTACAAATATGAATCTTTATTATATCACTTTTTTCTACAGAATGTTCCCCTTATTTAGCCTGGGCTCAAGTACTGTATGCCTTAAAGGACTCTCTTTCACATCATCTCTTTGTCCTCCAAAAGAACTTATTCTGCCAGTACCCAGTATATATTTTTTCATGTCTGGAAAGCTTGGTGATGTTTATTATATTTCATTTTTATTTCTCTTAGCCATATTTGAAGTTGGTAAATGGACTTGACTATTTTTGAACACATTATACTTCGAAGAATGAATTTATTCCTGACCTTATATTTGGTCTTACATTAGTATCCCAGGATAATAGTGATCCTGCAAAGAGCTTATATGGCTTTTGAGAGAGCCTATCCTTTGGTTCTGTTCTGAGAAATCAAAGAGTAGTACAAACACTAGTATGCTTCTGAGTCAGGGGTGGACAAAATGCTAAAATGTGCAGGGCAAAGCTTTCTGGGGAACTGTCTTCAATTGATCACCCAGTTAATTAAACATAGCCAGTGCTTGTCAGAATTTGTGGTTCTCTTGCTCTCAGAAACCTATTTGTGTCATTGGAAAGAAAAACAAAGCCTAACATTTCCATCTTTTCTAAATTCATGACCCCAAATGTTAGCAAAGTTGTAAAGATTGGTTTAGAGTACAGAGCTCATTCAAAGTTTAAAGTGTTCCCATTAAAGATTTAAAAAAGAAAACAACTCTTTGAATGGCATATATTACAAAGCCTCAAGTTAACATTAAAAAAAAACTTCTGTTGAGATTCTAGGGGAATGTATCCATTATGTTAATGTTATAGACTTTAAGAGTTATTTTAAATAGACAGTTTCATTAACAAGCATGCAGTGCAAATTAAAATCAAGCTTTAAATCAGCAAGAAAATGCAAATAGGCAAATTGCTCTTCATATACTTATCTTTATTTTGCAACAAAATGTGTGTTAAATTGCATATATGTAATAAAGTAACAGGCAACAGGAGTTGGGAAATATCTACTACTGTTACCTGGATGAAATTAATTGGTTTTTAAAAAGCCTATCACAGGCAAAGCAGGTAGAACTGAAAGGTCTATTTAATAACTGCTCTGAAATCTATGTAATGTAATTCATTCACACATGGTTCTTTATGAATTTTAATTTATTTTAATCATTAATGATTGCTTTACTATGTGGAGTTAGTGATATATGATGGCTAGAGTATTAAATTGGATATTAAGAAAACTGAGATAGTTCTCAGTAGACCAATGTCTTAATCTATGTTAATATTACTTAACATTTCCAAAGTTGTTAACCTTTCGAATTTCTCTGAACATTCATATGAAATGCTACCTGATAGGGCTATATTGAGAATGATATCTTTTACATGTCATTTGGTAAGATTTCTATAGATACAAACTAGTTGGAGGAGATAACTTAGACATTATTTAGTTTTAAGATAGTCACCATTTGAAGAATCAGTTTTCACAGAATATGACATAAGGAGAGATTTTTTTTTTTAGAGGGCATCTCTCATATTTATTGATCAAATGGTTGTTAACAACAATAAAATTCTGTATAGGGGGGTCAATGCTCAATGCACAGTCATTAATCCATCTCAAGCCTAGTTCTCTTCAGTCTCCAATCTTCTGAAGCATAACGAACAAGTTCTTACATGTTGAATGAATTCTTACATAGTGAATAAGTTCTTACATGGTGAACAGTACAAGGGCAGTC